AGTCCTAGGAACAGCTAAGATACTGAGCAGGACCCTCAAGCTCCCAGGCCTCTGGTAGAGGACCCGAGCTTGAAGGAACAAATACAAGACCGCCCCAAAGTGGTTCTCTATATATATTACATATATTTTATATATGTAATATATATATATATATAGTTTGGGAAGGAACTGTTTTAGCTTAGTTATGGAGGGAAGCTTCAAGCAACTTATGACATTTTTTAACTCATAATAGTTACATTTATCCAAGAGGAATCAAACTGTTGTAACTAATTAGAGCCAAGCTTTCTCAAGATAAAAAGACTGTGTTCCATTTGTCAAATTCTGCAAGCTGGCTCACACTGGACATGCAAATGAGGAAAGGTTAATTTACAATAATGTAAAGCAAATTTCCTCTGTGTTCTTAGTTTTGATATTAGAATTGTGATTGCAAGTTGCCCCCTGGCATTCCCTGGGCTGATAACCTCTGCCCCTCTGATGTGTGAATGATGTTTCGAAGCAGTTCTCTCAAATAATACATTACATACACTTAGACATTCAAGGTATGTTAAAAAGGCATACATTACACTAGTGGTAAAGATAAAATTGGTCAAATGTCAGTTGAAGTAATTGTAATTTGTTTTTCTACATTTTTTGTACTTATTTTTTTTTTTGTACAAAGTGAAATGATTTAAGATGAAGTGAATTCAGAGCAATTACAGTATATGGTTGGCTAGGCTTATAACGCAGGGCTACAGATATGAAGTCTGTCAGTCTGATGCGGTTGGAAGTCTGCTTCTAAATGCTAAAAGGTGCACATGTGGTTTCTACTCCTGTAGTGCGCTGCTATAAAGGTTAATATCATCTCAGCTGTGTTTAGTTTGCTGTGGCATATCTCCCAGTGACCTCTCCAACTGTGATCTGTGTTAACCCTCATGGGAACATGGCTGTGTCAGCAGTGGGTGTTGGTGTGAAAAGGCACGGAAAGAACCATGAAATGACAGAAAAATGGGGATCATCACATACTTAGTTTAAATGATTAGACAAACAGACATCAGGGTGATGAGAGATTGTGTAGTGGGTCGACTAAGGGTTTAAAAGACAACACATATGCAGTGAATGCTCTGAGCTTCATTACTGCCTTGTCATCATGCTGGTTTGGCTTGAACATGACACTTTTGCTCCATCATGAAACAGCAGAGGGCTGAAACTCAATTTTGGAACCATTGATATGTTGCCTCTTTGTGCCACATGCGGTAAAAACCTTGTTTGTGGTCCTTTATGGTTTCTCCCTTACCACACAGAGCTGTCAGATGACCAGCAGCTTTTATAGTGATGTCAAGTACATGTTTTGTTAGAAGCATCAATTGCAACCCATCCTTTGTCTCATAACTGAAATGAAGAAATATTCTTCAGCATTCATTGGAAATGAATCTTAAACATTTTTAAAGTATATGTTTGTTAAAAACTCCTCTCTCTCTCTCTGTCTCTCTCTCATTGGTACAGGCCATCCACTCTGTCAGCTGGCATCATGAGGGGAAGCAGTTCATGTGCAGCCACTCAGATGGCAGCCTGACACTGTGGAACCTCAGAAACACCTCCAAGCCATTCCAGGTCACTTTTCCTCATGGTAAGATACACAACCGTAGTATACTATCTCTTTTTTTTATATAAAAACAATGCACAGCCATCAACTCTGTGTTTTTCAAGCACTCAGGGTCACTTGTCAGCACATTCAAAAAACACGACAAAGCAAATCTGACAATGACAGGCATTGTGACATGCGATGTATGTCGCTGACAGTTTTAAATGCTTATTGTCAGGTAAGAAAACATCACACCATAATTAATGTACTCTTCCTCTGACTAGTCCTCCTTCTCCTTTCTTCTTATTTTTCTGTGGTTGGTGTACTCACTTGGCATCCTGACCTTGTCATATCTCTGGTGAATCTCTGGTGACAAATAGTTTCTTGCTGTGAGCTGTGATCTCAGACAAATTGAAAAACAGGAAGGCACAAGGGAAAGGGCATGGTTGATGAATTTTAGGGACATGGCAGCGGGGCCTTAGGACATGGTTAAATACCAGCAGATTGTTTATGCGCCACATATTTGTCAGATATTTGGTATTACACAGAATTAGAGGAAAAGGAAGGTGAAAAAAAGAACAAAGGCTGCTGAAAATGGATAGAGGTGAACTGGAAAAAGAAGAAATACATAGAAAGCATGTCATCTCTTGTGAATGAACCACTCCCTTTGTTCTAGTAATAAATAAATGAACTAATTATGACAGGACACTGTTAGTCAGGCATGTCTCCAGGACACCCATCGCATCCATGAATCTATATTTTTGTTTGAGTTGTGTTATGCTTTGCCTTCTGGACACTGCCATTGCTGGTTGTGCTGTGCGGCAGATCTTGTGCTGTAAACTAGATGAAGACTGGAGTTTTGCTGTCCAACCTGCTGTGGGAGCTCTCCACCAACAACATCATCCATTCATCCATTACAGTGAGGAACAGAAGTATTTGAACACCCTGCGATTTTGCAAGTTCTCCCACTTAGAAATCATGGAGGGGTCTGACATTCACATTGTAGGTACATTCCCACTCTGAGAGACAGAATTAAAAAAAATTTCAGGAAATCACATTGTATGATTTTTAAAGAATTTATTTGTCTTGCACTGCTGAACATAAGTATTTGAACACCTGAGAAACAGCAAGAATTCTGGCTCTCAAAGACCTGTTACAGTGCCTTGAAAAAGTCTACCTCTACTCCACTCAATA